CTGCAGGTAAATTCCTTTTCTTTTTTTCTTTGTTTGGTATAGGGGATTGAACCCAGGGCCCTTAACCACTGAGCCAGATCCCCATCCCTTTTAATTTTAAATTTTTTAAATTTATTTTTGGGGTATTGGGGCATTGAACTCAGGGGCACTTGACCACTGAGCCACATCCCCAACCCTATTTTGTATTTTATTAGAGATAGGGTCTCACTGAGTTGCTAAGCACCTTGCTAAATTGCTGAGGCTGGCTTTGAACTCGCGAGCCTCCTGCCTCAGTCTTCCCAGCCAGGGGATTACAGGAGTGTGCCACTGCCCCCAGCCCTTTTTATTTTTTATTTTGAGACAGAGTTTTGCTAAGTTGTGTAGGCCCTGACAGGAGTGGTACTTGGTGCACACGGCAAGGTGGAGGAAGAGTTGATTTACCAGGTAAATAGGTGCCTTTTGCACTAGGTTGGTTTCTGCTTTTCTTCAGAGAATCCCCAGTTCCATCTTTTTTAGAAGACAGTTACATGTTTTTTTTCAAAGTGCCATGGTCACCTCCTCCCTACTCTTCAGCCTTCTAGTAAAGCTTCTCATTGAAATTTTCACACTGAAATGAATGGTATTTGGTTGTGTAGCTTTCCCCCTTACAGACCATGACATGTCAATGGGAGTTGAAAAAATGGATTATAATGCATACCTATGGAATCTTGATCTGGGCCCTTAAAATAGTTTTAACTTAGATTCATTATTTTAATGCTTAATAAAAAGAACTGGGGAGCACAAATGGCATGGGATTTTTTTGTGAGTTGAATCCATAAATTTTGGATAGAATGGCTCCTGTGTTAGAGCTAGTGGTACAGTCCTGAGTATAGGAGTGTCTCTCTTTTGCCATTTGTATATTTGTAAATTAAAACCTTATTTGGGCTCGGGATGTGGATCAAGCAGTAGTGTGCTCGCCTGCACAGGGTGCTGGGTTCAATCCTCAGCATCACATAAAAATAAAGATGTTGTGTCCACTGAAAACTAAAAAATAAATATTAAAAAATAGTTTCTCTCTCTCTCTCTCTCTCTCTCTCTCTCTCTCTCTCTCTCTCTCTCTCTCTCTCTAAAAAAAAAAAAAGAAAAAGAAAAGAAAAAAAAACCCTTATGTGGGGCTGGGGTTGTGGCTCAACAGCTCACTTAGCACCTGTAAGGCACTGGGTTTGATCCTCAGCACCACATAAAAATAAAATAAAGATATTGTATTCACCTAAAAATAAAAAATAAAAAAATAAAAAACCCTTATGTATATGACTTTTCAGAAATAGGAATTAAGTTCAGATTCCAAGTGTCCCTTGTCTGAGAGATGGTCATATTACCTTAGTTCTACATACTGTTTATACCCACCTGTCCTTTCCTTGTGGATGTAAGTAATATGATGAAAACGCCATGGTCCTCTCAATTTCTTGGAAGATAAGGGAGCAGTAATTAAAATAAAATAAAGATGTTGTGTCCTTCTTAGTTTCTTCTGTGGGTTAATTTCCTGACCCTACCCAGTGACATGAGTTTCTCTTGAACTTCATGGAGGTTCATGAAGTTCAACTTCATGGACTATGTTTTGCCTTGTTTCACTTTGTTTTCATATGACCAAGTGTAATGTCACTTGTTGGCTGGTCAGGAATCATTTCCTCTTCAGTTCCTCAGAACTGAAAAGATGAGGAACAAACCAGTACTGAGGATTTGCTCCTTTAGCAGAAGATCCAGGTTGCAGGGCTGCTAGTCCAGAAGGACACAGAAACTCTGTGTCATCCCACATTTACTCTGCCCGTGTATGTCTTCCACTTGGTTGAAATAAGTGGTCCTCTGTAATAGACTGATAATACTAAGTAAAGCCCTCTCCCAAATTCCAAGAGTCATTCTAGTGAATTATTTACCAAAGAACATTAAAGGAACTCATGAATTTGTGGTTGACTGGGCATTTATGTGAATGGCTCTGGTATCCTGTTGTGGGTACGTCTGATGACTTGTGGGACTGAGCCCTTAACCTGACACAAACTCCAGATAGTGAACATTGTTGGAATCATCAAGATTCATAACTGGAGCCAGATGTGGCAGTGTACACCTGTAAAATGCCAGTGACTCATTACAATGACCCAAGAGGCTGAGGTAGGAAGATCACATGTTTAAGGCAGTCTTAGCAGCTTAGAAAGACCCTATCTCAAGATTAAAAAGGGGAGAGGAGGCTGGGGAATGTGGGACGGTAGCTCAGTGGCATAGTACTGCTGATTTCAGTCCCCATTGTCCAAAAAAGAAGAGGAGGAAAAAGAGAGGGAAAAAAATAAGAAAAAAATTCATGACTCCTCCTGTTCCCCTCCTTGACTCTTCTCTAGATTCCCCATAGATGAACATATTCCTGACTTTTTGGTTATCCCTTATACTATTACTGTGTTTTCTTTACCACTAAGTGCTGTTTTATTTTGTTTTGTTTTTAATTTTGCCTCCTTTTATCTTTTTATAAATGTGGTTGAAGTAAGTGGTCCTCTGTAATAGACTGATAATACTAAGTAAAGCCCTCTCCCAAATTCCAAGAGTCATTCTAGTGAATTATTTACCAAAGAACATTAAAGGAACCCATGAATTTGTGATTGACTGGGCATTTATGTGAATAGCTCTGGTACCCTGTTGTGGTTATGTCTGATGACTTGTGGGACTGTGGGTTATAGTGCAAATATTTGCCTTTCACTTGTTTCTTTGCCTCAGTGTGATTCAAACATCCTAGTGTTTTTGGCTTCTGATCGTCTAATTTCTTCATTCTTTCCAGTGGTTATGGTATTTTAGTTTTTAAAATATATTTTTGGTCTTGTGAAAAATGCCTGTTCTTTCACGTTTGTGTAAATTTGTAAATTCAATCCAGAATAAACCCTCAGGACATTGGAGAAACTTTACTGGGTTGGGGTTCAAGGTCAAGATCACAATTTCAAGAAGGAGCAGTGGGGTTTAGCCATTGACCCTCCACTCCATTCCTCTGCTTACTTGTTCATAATGGATACCAACATATGGGATTATCTAATTGATTAACTTTTGTCCTTCTAATCCTGTGAATACATCTCATATGGCACATCTTCTTTGCCTAAGAGTTATAGCATTTTGCATGTATACATTTTTATCTTCTGTTAAATATATCTGGTAATAATTTTTCACTCTTTAAATTTGTGTTCAGCTGGGTGTGATGGCATGTGCCTGTAATCCCTCAGATTCTAGAGTCTGAGGCAGGAGGATCACAAATTCAAAGCCAGACTCAGCAACTTAGCAAGACATTTAGCAACTCAGCAAGACCTTGTATCTAAATAAAATATAAAAAAGCGCTGGGGATGTGGTTCAGTGGTTAAGCACCCCTGAGTACAATCCCCAGTACCCACCACCACCCCGCAGAAAAATTCTGTGTTCATTCATTTTACTGTGGCATTAATTCTTTTATTGACCTCATTTTGCAATTATTTTATTCTATGTTTGTTGTAACTCCCTTTATGTTAATATATATCAATCTGTCAGTCTCTTCCAGTATGTCTTGTCCTTTTTCTGTAAGATCTTGGGGACATTGAGTTCTCTTTGAGAACATCTTCTGAGACTATATTTTGCCTTGTTTCACTTTGTTTTCATATGACCAAGTGTAATGTCACTTGTTGGCTGGTCAGGAATCATTTCCTCTTGAACTTTGAGGAAGAACACTTTATATTCTTTGGAGAAAAGTGTTGGTGAATCTTTTAGGTATTTTACAATCATGGGCACATTCACCATTAAACTACTATGGGTATCAGTGAAATCCCTCAGAAATTGCAACTTTTTTTGTGTTTCTGGAAATAGAGCCCAGGCACTCTGCACTGAGCTGTATTTGCAGTCATTTATTTATTTGTTTATTTTTGAAGTACTGGGGATTGAACCCAGGGGTGCTGTACCACTGAGCTACATATCCAGCCCTTTATATATTATATATATATATATATATATATATATATTACAATATATATTTTTTTAAATTTTTTTAGTCATTGATAGACCTTTATTTTATTTATTTTTATGTGGTGGTGAGAATCAAATCCAGTGTCTCACATATGCTAGGCAAGTTCTTTACCATTAGGCTACAACCTCCAGCCCAATACATTTTTTAATTTTGAGAGGCTCTCACTAGATTGCTGAGGCTTTGCCATCCACCTGCCTCAGCTTCCCAAGTTGCTGGGATTCTGGACACATGCCATTGTACCTGGCTGGAAATTGCATCTCTTAACCTGATTCTCAATGTAAGAGAAGCCCAAGGTACACTGTTGGGTCTTCTAGAAAGAGTTCTTTGAGTGTGTGTGCATGTGCACACGTGTGCTAAAATTGTGTTGGAAGTTGCCCTGAGGCTCCTGAGTGTGGAGATTTTTGAGAAAGACTGTGTTACCCTGCTTTTTCCCTCCTACCTGATATCTTCCCAGTAATTGCATACTGCTATAAAAAGGGACAGAGGAAAAAAGGATAAATGGCCTGTAATATTACACCAATAAGTTAAAATGAATTCTTTTGCTGAGACACATGGTGGGCTAATCAGGAACAGGATGGAGGTTTTTCATAAAAGGAATTGACAGTCATAATTTGTGTATCATTTCTCTCATTTCCCCAAGGTGAAGTAGACCCTCCCATTAGAGAGCAACACTTGTAGTGACCACAGTAAAACTGTACAGATCCTTTCCCTGTGTTCTTGGGTCTGGTAATTTATGAGGAAGTGAGTGTGAGCACAGGTTAAAATTCTCTGTGTGATCCACCTGCTCCACCTCCTGAGTAGCTGAGACACAGGCATGCCCTCAGCACACCCAGCCAGAAATCGCCACTTTTGTTTCATTGTAAATGGGCAGAAATTGCAACTCTTAACCTGCTTCTCAATGTAAACAAGACCCAGGGTACACTGTTCTACCTTCATGGATTACAGGATAAATGTTTGGAGACTACAGAGCGTGTGTGTCTTGTGCATCTGTATCATTCCCTCCTGTTACAAATTTGTCTAGGATGTTTCAGGACTCAATGGCCTTGCAAGATGTGATTATATACTTCACCCAGGAGGAGTGGGCTCTGCTGGATCCTTCCCAGAAGAAACTCTACAGAGATGTGATGTCGGAAATCTTTAGCAACTTGTCCTCTCTAGGTAATGACCAGACATCTTTGGCTTAGTCGGAAAATGTCTGTATTTATCCCTCCCTCACTTCCTCCCTCTTTCTTTCTTCATTTTCATTTACTTACTTTCTCTCTTTTTTCTTCCTATCTTCTTCCTTTCTGCTTTCTTCCCTCCCTGCATTCCCTTCCTTCTTCCCAAGGCCCTCACCCATGCTATTCAAGGGCTGTGCCACTGAATTACACTGCTAGCCAAGAAAAAGTGTTTCTTACCCATGAACTTTGTTCCACAATTTGGAACAAGGAAAAGGAATACCATGGTGTATCGATTCAGGCATGTTCTAACCATTCCGAACCTGGAAGCTAGTCAGTCGCATTTCTGTAATCCTAATAATTCATGGTGATGGTCTGTCTCTGCATTTTAGGAAAATTGTTGCAAGACAAGAACTGTGAAGATTGCTACAGAAATTTTGGGGGAAAGTTAAGGTAATTTTACTCCCAAGTGAAAGCAATGTCCCATAAGAGAATTCTAGTTCATGTTTTCTTCCTGAGACAATGTTCTTGCTAATTGCTGAGGCTGGCTTTGAATTACTTTAGCCTCACCAGTAGGCGAAGAGTACATGCATCTGTCACTATCTAGATAACATGAAATTTAAAAAATAAGAAAATGATATTAAAAAGATCAAATTTATTTACTGAGAATATTTTTTAAACTTAATTTTATTTATTTATTTTTCATGTGATACTAAGGATCGACCACTTGCTAGGCACGTGTTCTACTGAGCCATAATCCCAGCCCATACTGAGAATTTTTTAACAAGAAATGTGTACTTCAATGTGATATACATGTTCAGTATTTACAAAATAGAAAACCATATTTTAAAACCATATTCATGAATCTTACTCTTAAAAAATTAAGTTGTATATTTCAGGTATACACAAATTCAAGTATACAACCCTGTTTTTTTAAAAATTAATTAATTATTATTTTTTTTAATACTGTGGATTGAACCAGGGGTGTGCTCCCACTGAGCTACATTCCCAGTCCTTTTTATATTTTACTGAGAGATAGGGTGTTGCTAAGTTGCTAATGTTGGCTTTGAACTTGCAATTCTTCTGCCTCAGCCTCTCAAGCCACTGGGATCACAGGTGTGCGCCACCGCACCTGGTTTCTCATATTCTGCATTCTATCTGTGGCCTCATTCAGCCTCACAATCTGTTTTTTTTTTTTTTTTGGTCCTCTGATCTTCATCTTCCCATTGTCTCCCCTCAGCTCCTGGCCCTGGTAACTACTCTTCTATTCTCTATCTTAGTGTACTTGACCTATTTCCCATGTAAGTGAGGTCATGCAATACTTGTCCTTCAGCGTCTGGCTTACTTCACTTAGCATACTGTGCTGTCATTTCATCCCTGCAGTGGCCAAGGGAAGGATCTCCTTAAGGAGATCTCACGCTTGTTTTCATAGCATGGCTGTTGTGAATGATGCTGCAATGCATGTGGAGGTGCAGACGTCTTTATAAGGTGCTGATTTCATTTCCTTTGGGTATATGCCTTAAAACAGTATTGCTGAGTTATGTGACAGTTTTAGTTTTTTCTTAACAAAACTTTCTATTGGGTTCCATAATGGCTGCAGCAAAGTACATTGACAACAATGTATAAGGTTTCCTTTACTCCATATCTTCCCCAATGTTGGTTATCTTTTCAGCTTATAATGGCCATTCTAATAGGTATGAGGTGGTATCTCACAGTGGGTTTGCTTTCCATTTCCTTGATGATTTGTGACATGGAGCACCTTTTCATACTGGCCTTGAACTTGTGATCATCCTACTTCAGCCTCCCAAGCCTCTGGGATCATAGGTGTGCGCCATCGCACCCTGCATGTCTTGCCCTTTGCATATGCCCATCACTTCTCTTTCATGCCTCTCTTCACACTTTCTTTCACATATTGCTCTCCCACCATGTGATGACATATGATATGTGATGATTCAGCCAGTAGACCCTCATCAGATTAGTGGCACAATGGCGTCTGGACTTCCAAGCCTCTTTTTCTAACCCAACTTCTGTATTTTATGACAGTAAGAGAAAATGGACAGAGACATAACTTCTTAATTATGGCTTTAAATGTTTTTTTCCTAAATTGGTAGATGCTGTTTTCATGTAGTTGCTTGACAGAAGCAGAAGGTTTTTAATTTAATGTAACTCCTTTTATATATGTTTGCTTTTGTGACCTGAGCTTTTGGTGTAGTATCTACAAAATCAATGCAAGTCAGTGTCCAGGGCACTTTCTCCCAAGTTCTCTCTTCTGGTTGCTTTATAATAAGTTTCATTGTTTTGACCATTTTTCAATTCATTTTGTGTACTGTGTAAGATAGGGGTTCAGTTTCATTCTTCAGCTTGTGGAAAGGCACTTTTCTTGTACTCTTTTTGAGGAGGCTGTCTTTGTGTCTTCTTGGTGCTGTGGTCAAACATTAGTTGATAGTATATGTTCTGATCTATTTCTGGACTCTGTGTTATGTTCCACTAGACTGTTGTGTGTCTTTTTTTTTTTTTTTTAGTTGTTGATGGACCTTTATTTTATTAGTTTATTTATACATGGTGCCGAGAATCAAATCCAGTGCCTCACATATTCTAGGCAAGGGCTCTACCACTGAGCTACAACTCCAGCCTCAACTGTGTGTCTTTTTTTAAACAAGTATAATACCATTTTGATTATTATAACTTGGTAAAATGCTTTTGTGATAGGAAGGTGGTACTTTAACTTTATTCATCTCAGAATTTTTTTTGTGTTGTTTAGGGTATTTTGTGATTCTGAATACTTTTTAGTATTGTATTTCCTATTTTTGTGCGGAATTTATGATTTTTATCAGGATCTCGTTGAATATGTATTGTTTTGAGTGGTATGGACATTTTAATATTCATTTTCCTGATCCATGAATACAAGTTAGCTTTTTATTTATTTATAATTTTTTTCCTCAGTGTTTTATAGCTTTCATTCTACAGATGTTTCACATCCTTGGGTAAATTTATTTTTAAGTAATTATTATTATTATTATTATTATTGTAGTGGAGCTTGATCCCAGGGGCCCTTACCATTGAGCTGCATTCTCAGTTGTTATTTTTTTTTTTGTTTTTTTGTTTTAAATTATTTTGAGACAGGGTCTGTCAAAGTTGCTGAAGCTGGCCTGGAAATTGCCTCCTGCTCAGTCTCCTGAGTTACAGGGATTATAGGTGTGGGCCACTGCTCATTGACTTTCTTCGTGTTTCTCACTTTGACCTGCAGTTTTCTCCTCTTTCATATCTTTGGCTTTGGTATCACTAGGATGCTGACCTCCTAAAACATTTTTGGAAATACTACACCGAGTGCTACTTCAGTATCAATTCTTGGAGTGCTTGTTTAAATTCAGCCTGGAATCCATCTGACTTTGCGCTTCTCTTTCTTGGTAGATTTTTGGTTACTTATTCAGTGTCTCTTGTTGTATATGGTCTGTTCAGGCTTTCTAGTTTTTCCTGACTCATTCTTGATAGATTGTGTATTTCTAGGAATTTATTCCTTTCCTCTTGGGTAGCCAATTGGTGGGCATGTATTTGTTTCTAATAGTCACATATAAACTTAAAAAAAAATTATGAGGTGTCTATTGGACTGGTTTCATTTTATTATTATTTTATTATTTTATTTACTTGAATCTTCTCATTTTCCCAGAGCACCTCGGTTTTTTGTTTTGTTTTTGTTTTTGTTTTTCATAAAAGCAACTCTCACCATTACTGATTCTATCTCTATCTTTTCTGGTCTTTGTTTGATTTAGATTTATTATTTTGGTCTTCATTGTATCCTTCCTTCTGCTCCTTTTGTATTTACCTTTTTCTCTTCTTTCTAGTTTTTTGATCCATAATATTTGACTATATATGGGCTTTTTCTTATATTTTCAAGTTGGCATTTATTGTTTATGCATCCATTGTAGAGCTGCTTTGGCTTCATTCCATGAGTTTCAGATGTTCATTATGTTTTCATTTTTGTCTCAAGATATTTTCATTTCCCTTTTAACTTTTTCCTTGATCCATGGATTGTTCAGGAGTATGTTATTTAGTTGCTGTATATTTGTGAAATTTCCAAGATTCTTCCTTTTACTGATTTCTAGTTTCATACCATTGTGGTCTCAGGAGATATTATATGGAGAAGTGTAGTATGCCAATAAATTTTAAAAATAAGCAAACAACAACAACAAAAAGTTCAGCTTTAAACTTACTGATAAAGAAATTTTTACCAAAATGTGTATTTAAATGTGATGTAAATGTTTTTGCAAATCAGAAACAATAATAGGAATTCCCTATATGAAAATCACTATATTGTTGAATAATTTGGTCAAACTTTCCTACAAAGCATTCAGTCCATTCACTTTCACAGAGTTTGGACAGTGCAGAAAACCTACACTTCCTCTAATAATAGTAAAAACATCTGTCCAGTTTATAATAGTGAAGGTAGAATTGTTAATATTACAAACCAACAATAATGTAGTTCTCCTCTTTCACAGCAATAATAATGGAGAGCAAGCCTGTGAAAGTAAAGAGCATCTTCACTGTGGAGAAATCTTTAGCCATATTCTAAATCCTGATGTGAACCAAAGCTTTAATGGAGTTAAGCCATATGACTGCAGTGTGCCTGGAGTAGTCTTCATGTGTCTCTCATCCCTTAATAGATATATGGTTCATGATACCAGATACAAACTGTATGAGACTCAGGAATATGGGGGAAAACAGTATCATTGTAAGCTATATGAGAAAGCATTTACTGATCACTACTCCTTTCAAAGATATGAAAGGACTCAAATTGCAGAGAAGCTGTATGATTGTAAGGAATGTGGAAAATCATTTACTTCTCATAAAAGTCAAACAAGACACATGATATTGCACACCGGAGATGGACCTAACAAATACAAATTTTGTGGGAAAGCCTTTTACTATCATAGGTCAGCTCTGAGTCATGAAAGGACTAACACTGGAGAGAAACCCTATGAATGTAAGGACTGCTGTGGGAAAGCGTTCAATTCCCATGGAAAGGTTGGAAGAGACATGTTAGAACATACTGGAGATGGACCTTATAAATGTAAATATTGTGGGAAAGCTTTTAAATTTTCCCAATCAGTTCTGAATCATGAAAGGATTCATATGAGAGAAAAACCTTATCAGTGTAAGGAATGTGGGAAATCCTTCAGAAGTTGTAGTTCTTTTAGAGTTCATGAAAGGATTCACACTGGAGAGAAACCATATAAATGTAAACAATGTGGGAAAGCCTTCAGAGATACGAGATATGTACGAGTGCATGAAAGGATTCACACTGGAGAGAAACCCTATGAGTGTAAGGAATGTGGAAAAGGCTTCAGAACTTCTAGTTCTTTTCATATCCATGAATGGATTCACACTGGAAAGAAACCTTATGAATGTAAGCAGTGTGGGAAAGCCTACAACAATTCTTGGTATTTTCGTGTCCATGAAAAGACTCATACTGGAGAGAAACCTTGTGAATGTAAAGAATGTGGAAAAACCTTTAGCAATTGTAGTTCTCTTCGGTTGCACAAAAGGACTCATACTGGAGAAAAGCCTTATCAGTGTAAGGAATGTGGGAAATCCTTCAGAAGTTCTCGTTCTTTTCGAGTCCATGAAAGGACTCACACTGGAGAGAAACCATATAAATGTAAGCACTGTGGGAAAGCCTTCAAGGATGTGAAGTATCTTCGAGTGCATGAAAGGATTCACACTGGAGAGAAACCCTATGAATGTAAGGAATGTGGGAAAGCCTTCATCGATTTTAGTCCTCTTCAGTTGCATAAAAGGATTCACACTGGAGAGAAACCTTATCAATGTAAGGAATGTGGGAAATCCTTCGGAAGGTCTAGTTCCTTTCGAATCCATGAAAGGACTCACACTGGAGAGAAACCATATAAATGTAAGCAATGTGGGAAAGGCTTTGTTGCTTCTTCTTCTTGTCGAGTCCATGAAAGGACTCACAGCGAAGAAAAACCCTATAAATGTAAGCAGTGCGGGAAAGCCTTTTGCAATTGTAATTCTTTACGATTGCATGAAAGGATGCACACTGGAGAGAAAGCCTACCAGTGTAAGGAATGTGGGAAAGCCTTCAGAAGTTCTGGTTCTTTTCGAATTCATGAAAGGACTCACACTGGAGAGAAACCCTATGAATGTAAGCAGTGTGGGAAAGCTCATAGCAGTTCTTGGTCTTTCCATGTCCATGAAAAGACACATACTGGGGAGAAACCCTATGACTGTAATGAATGTGGGAAAGCCTTCAAGGATTCTTGGTCTTTTTGAGTTCACAAAAGAATTCACACTGGAGATAAACCATATGAGTGTAAACAATGTGGGAAAGCCTTTTGCAATTTTAGTTCTTTACGATTGCATGAGAGGACACATACTGGAGAGAAACCTTAGCAATATAAGGAATGTGGGAAAGCCTTCAGAAGTTCTAGTTCTTTTCAAATCCATGAACGGACTCACAATGGAGAGAAGCCCTAGGAATGTAAGCAGTGTGGGAAACTTTCACTTGTTTTATTCAACTGCCCAAAAGGATTCACATTAGAGAGCAACCCTTTGTGTGTAAGCAGCACAGAAAATCCTTCAATGGTTTTTATTCTTGTACATAAAAGGATTCACACTGGAGGGAAGCCCTATGAATGTAAGCCATGTAGGAAGGCTTTCCAAAAAAATCTTGATCTTTTATAGTCCATGAAAGGACCCATACTGGATAGAAACCCTTGCATGTAAGGACTTGGGAAAGGGTTCAAATGCTTGTTCAGTTCCAATCCATGAAAAGGACCCATACTGAAAGAGAAACCCTATTTATGTTAAGCCACATGGGAAAGAGTTTTCTCATTTTCGTTTCATGTGTATAAAAGGATTACACTATGGAGGGAACCATCATGGCAAAGCCTTACTTGAGTACTTTCCAAGTACATAAAAGAAATATGAATGAGAAATATGAATGTACAGAATATGGGAAAGTGTTTGAGTCCTTTATAAATATTGGAAGACGTGTGATAGTACCTAATGGAGAAGAGCCTTACAAATGTAACTTATAAGTTTCTCCGTTTCTAAGGCATGAAAGGCTCACTGAAGAAAAACATTGAGAATATAAAGAGTGTGGTAAAGTTTTAGTTGTTTGAAATACGAGAGCAACCCAAAATGGAGGCAAGTGCTATAAATATAAGGAATATGTGAAAGCCTTCAAATTCTCAGTTTCTTTCCAACTCATGAGATAACTCCTACTGGAGAAATCCTATGAGAGGAGCATGGGAATTCTTTCATTGCCATGCGGTCTTCAGCCGAGAAAGGAATGCATAATGGACAGATGTCTTATGGTGTGAAAATGCCGTAAGGCTTGTCATCAGTTCAAATTGTAGCCATGAAAGATTCACAGTCGTGAGAATCTCCACGAATATATGCAATGTGTCAAACCTGGTATCCTACATCTTTTCAAATATATATGTAAGATTATACATGGCTTTGAAGCACTTCCTTTTAAAAATGAAGGAAAGTTTTCCATTTTACCAAGTGGGATTTTTTTTTTAAATTTTTGGAGGGCGGGTACTAAGGTTTCAACCCAGTCATTTCACAACTAAGCTACATACCAAGCACTTTTTAAATTTTGAGATAGGAGCTCACTAAGTTGTCCAGGCCTGCCTTGAACTTGCAATATTCCTGCCTCATCCCCTTGAATATCTGGGATTACAGATGTCCTCCACCTGGCCCCATGCATTTTAACAAGTTTGGTTGTTTTGTTTTGTTTTTACACTGGGAATTGAACCCAGGGATGCTTTACCAGAGAACATCCTCAACCCTTCTATTTTTTGAGACAGGGTCTCACTAAATGCTGAGGTTGGCCTTGAACTTGGGATCCTCCTGTCTCAGCCTCCCAGGTCAGCTAGTAATTTAAGTCATGTGAAATCACACTGGAGAGAAGTTTTGTAAATGTAAGTTATATAGAAAACCTCGTTAATACTGAAGTATTTATTCTATGAAGAATTTACAAGAAAGAAATGCAAAAGTTCTGAGTATATTTTGTTCTTCAGTGTCTCATTTTTAACTTGGATATGTAGTAATTTGAAACATTAAATGAAATGTTTCAGCTGGGTGTGGTGGTACACACTTGTAATCCCAGCAGCTCTAGAGACTGGGGCAGCAAGATCACAACTTCAAAGCCAGCCTCCAGCAACTTAGGCTCTAAGTAACTCAGTGAAACCGTGTCTCTGAGTAAAATATAAAAAAGGGCTGAGGATGTTACTTAGTAGTTAAGCAACCCTAGGTTCACTCCCTGGTACCAAAACAACAACATATGAAATGAAATGTTTCTGTAAGAATTTAAGCAATTTACAGGGGCTTGGTGGGGTGTTTTTTTCCTATTATCTTTGCATTTTGATACATGGGTGGGTGAATTGTATTTGCAATATGATAGATTCAGTTTTACACTGTTTAATTGGCACTTATGAGCTATTTAATTGTCATCAATTGTCATTAATGAGCTATTGAAAAGGGATGTTTTGTCCATTGCTGGTCTGTGTGTCAGGAACTGGATATCACATTCCTCCTTTTGGGAAAAACTGTAGTTAAGAGAGTCAGTAGAGAAAAAGGTTTATTTTATTTTCCTTGCTAATAAATCATTGCCTTCCTCTTCTGTGTAATGTGTATGATGTGGTCTCACGATTCTTGTTATTCCATCCTTTTTTCTATTATAGTATACATTGATTTCCATGAATTATGTTCATTAAAATATGTAGACTTAGTTATCCATTAAAAACTATGTGATGCTGGGCATCCCAGCAGCTTGGGAGGGTGAGGCAGGAGAATCATGAGTTCAAAACCAGCCTCAGCAAAGGCGAGATGATAAGCAACTCAGTGAGACCCAGTCTCTAAATAAATACAAAATAGAGTTGGGGATGTGGCTCAGTGGTTGAGTGTTTCTGAGTTCACTCCCTGGTACAACCCCTCCCCCCCAAAAAAAACCCATATATAATAGTTTTTAAAGAAATCTTCCACAGGGGTCACATGAGGTAAGTATATTTAAGTAAATTGTCAGAATACAAAACAAGGGTCAGGGAAGACTAGATCATTTTTCATATTGCCTACAAAGTGTAGCTTTTTTTTTTTTTTGTACTGAGGATTGAACCCAGGGGCACTTAACCACTGAGACACACCCCCAGCTCCTTTTTGTGTTTTATTTAGAGACAGGGTCTCGCTGAGTTGCTTAGAGCCTTGTTAAATTGCTGAGGCTTTGAACATATGATCCTCCTGCTTCGGCCACCCGAGCTGCTGGGATTACAGGCTTGGGCCACCACACCCAGCCAAAATGTAGTCTTGACGCTAAATTTTCAGATTTCTCTTAATATCGGTCTCTGCAGATGCAAAATGTAAAATCAAGCAAAAAAAAAAAAGTATTGTAGGCTTTGAGTATGTGATAAGGAACACATTCATGTGGTCCAAGTGCTTTTAGTTTTGTGATAACACACAGTTAAGTGGTAAAGGTAATAAAACATCCAAACTACTAGAAGGGATCCCAGGATCAGTAAATTCCTCTTGAAGTAGTAAGGGTAATCTACATTCCACACGGAACGTAGGATAAATAGAGAAAAGAATATTATAATTTGTGTGGAACAACAATAACAAAAACTCCTAATGGCCAAAGCAATCTTGGGCAAAAAGAACAAAGAGGCTTACAGAGAGATCACAGTGCTCAGATCAAAGACCGTGGTATCATCCAGCTTGATAGAGCTCAGACCTGTAACTCCAGCTTCGAGGGAGGCTGAGGCAGAAGGAGCACAAATTTGAGACCAGCCTCAGCAACTTAGACCCTGTCTAAAAATTAAAAATAAAAAAGGGCCGGGGTGTGGGTCAGTGGTACGGCACCCTAAATCGCCATTCCCCACAGAAAAATAAAAAAGAGAAACCTTACATAAACCAGTGCAACAGAACTGAGGAATTAGAAATAAACTCACACGTCTATAATCAGGTCATTTTCAGTGAAGTTGCTAAAGATGCAGTTGAGAAAGGACACATTTATTTATTTATGGTACTGGAGATGGAACCCAGAGGCACCTTGCCACTGAGCTACCTCCCCAATCCTTTTTACTTTTCATTTTGAGACAGTCTCGCTAAGTTACTGAGGCTGGCTTGAATTTATGGTCCTCCTGCCTCAGCCTCCCCAGTCACTAGGGTTATAGGTGTTTGCACACCTGTAATCTCCGTGATTCAGGTAGTTGAGGCAAGAGGATTGCAAGTTTGAGACCAGCCTCAGCAATTTAGCAAACCCCCCCCCCTTTTTTTATTGTCAATGTGTGGGAGGCGGCCACTCTGATTCACATTCTCCTTCCATGAGTGGAGAGGCTTTGACTGGTCACTGCATCTAGTTGTGACCTGGACATTGCCCCAGTCCCGAAGGTTGAGGACGCATCTTCAGACATAGGTGTGTTATCCCACGGACTGAGCTACACTCACCTGTTCCTTCGTAATACTACCCCTTTACCCTGTTTGGGATAGAATGTTCCATGGAAATGCCCTTTGTGTGTCCCCTTCTCTTGCTCTGCCTTTGGGTGTGGCCTTCCTAGATGTCAGTCAACCTGCTGACGGCAGACATCACGAAGCTAGACTTAACCTGCCCCCCGAACCTGATCCCTTGCTTCATTTGAATGGCTTCTTCTCAATAAAAGGGTTCAGCATGCCCTTGTTCACTGTCTTTCTTCGGACCCTTAAGGTCAGAGGAGCCGTCACACGACCTCAAAGAAAAAGAGATTTCTGTCTCTTGTGTGGTTACTTCAGGCAGCCCAGTTCCCCCGGAGTGACCCTGAGTGTTTTGGTTATGAGGAACGTGACATCAGTGGACCTTTATTTTATTTATTTATATGTGGTGCTGAGGCTTGAACTCAGGGCCTCACACATGCTAGGTGAGCGCTCTACCGCTGAGCCACAACTCCAGCCCCTAAAACCTGTCTTCAAAAAAAAAAAAAAAGGACTGGGGATGCAGCTCAGTGGTAAAGCACCCCTGATCCGGAAAGAAAAGGTGATATCCACTTGTGGGGCTGGGTTGTGGCTCAGTGGTAGAGCACTTGCCTAGCACAAGTGAGGCACTGAGTTCGATCCTCAGCACCACATAAAAATAAAAATAAAGGTATTGTGTCCACTTACAACTAAAATATTTTTAAAAAGATATCCACTTGCAGAGGAATGAAACTGGACCCCCATTTCTTATTAATTACAAAAATCAACAGTATACTAATTAAGACCTAAGATCTAAAACTAAAACTACCAGAAAAAAAAAAAGGATAGCTTTCCAGACGTCAAAAGGGGCTAGGAAAGTTATCTTGGACAAACCCTCTCACCCTAAAAATTACAGGAATCACACAGATGTGTGGGATTACATCAGACTAAAAAGCTTCTGTGGAGGTGTGGAGCAATCACTTGATTGAAAAAACAACTTTGGTTTGGTAGAACCAAAGCCAACTGTATAGACGACAAGGAACCAACATCCAGAATATCTAAGCTCAAAAGCAAAAAGCCAAATAGCCTGATTTAAAAATGGGCAATAGGAATGCAAGGTGGAAATAATTTTTTTGGTGCTGGGGGTAGAACCAGGGCCTCCAGCATGCTAGGCAAGTGTCGAGACCCCATGAACTGAATGTCAGGTGTGAGGAGCATTCACTGCCCACCTGTGCCGAATCCCAGCTGGCTGGGCAGCAAGGGTACGTTCAACTAGACTTGATTTGCGATTTTTGAGTCTGTTTGCATCTGTATTCAGAAGATATATGCATGTACCCTTTTATAATATATACCATTAAGTATAATATTATATACTATATATATTATAGTATAATATATGCCATGTAGGTAAGTGTATTGATGATATACTCACATATGTATACATTAAGTATGTAGTGTACATTTTTAGTATATGTACACTACTTGTATATATAATAGCATTTAATACACTGTATTATCCTGGTATGTCCTATGTAGGGTAGCCCAATGCTTCCTCAATCCCTTGTATGTGATTCTGCCAATCCCTGCTAGCCTTTAAGATTGTTCAAGCAAGTCAGCCACATTCCCCCACGGGAACCACAAGGCTTCCCTGTCACACCCCGTTTTCTCTTCCCAAGTACATCTATGCGCAGGCCTGGTGGCTCATGGCCATGCAGTGTGCTGTAAGGAGCATGTGGCTGTAGTTTTTTGTTTGTTTTAATATTTATTTTTTTAGTTTTCGGTGGACACAACATCTTTATTTATTTATTTTTAAAGTGGTACTGAGGATCGAACCCAGCGTCCCGCGCGTGCCAGGCGAGCGCACTACCACTTGAGCCACATCCCCAGCCCTGGCTGTCGTTTTAACACTAGCTCTATAAGGCAATTCAAGCACCCTGCAGGACCAACAGTGTGTGTCACCTGGCAGTGTTGTGCCACCTGGCCCAGGGGGACCACCCTCGAGCAGTACCTTTCCAGCAATGGTTACCCCTAAAGAGCTCCAACCCCTTTCTGAAGGAAGTGCCTGGTACCTGAACCAAACCAAATGCATGTATAAGAAGGAAAAAACCCTGATTGAAAATGGTCTGTGGTGGAGATGCTCTCAGTCAGATGGTCATTGGACCCCTAAATACATCTGGTCCAGGCCACCAGCCTGCTGCCATAGTCTGAGAACGTTGTCAGAATAAACTGCTTGAACATCACATTGTATCTAAGTAACTCATTTTTTTATGTGAATTGGGCTGAACAGGAGAAATTGCCCCTGAATGAGCTGGTTAAGCAAGCCCCCCCCCCCCCCCCGCCCAGTCTCCACTGTGCCATATGCTGAGAGATATGTGTGTCCTTAATTTGTCTATGGGTAATCTGGGGGCAAGATTCCCACAGTGCTTTACCCCAAAGGGGGTGACTTTGGATGAGTCCTCATTGCTTTTGGAAGAATCAGATAGGGAAGACCCTTGGCAATAGCCAAAGAATCTGTCAGAATGTGCACACAACCCCAGCTCTCAGTCACAAAGGGATTCTGTAGCATTCACATGGTGGCCTGGGATGTGGCTCAAGATGCCCTCCGTTGGGTCCCATCTTTGATTGGGAATGGTCACAAGATAGGGATTAGAAGCAGCATCTCTCCAGTGAACACCATCCTGTGGCCAGAAAGCACACTGCTTTAGTCCGCTTTTTTCCTGCTGTGACTGAAAGACCAACCAGCACAACTGTAGAGGAGGGAAAGTTTATTTGAGGGCTCACGGGTTCAGAGGTCTCAGTCCACAGACAGCCGGCTCCATTCCGCAGGGCTTGAGGTGAGGCTGAACATCATGGCGGAGGAGTGTGGCAGAGGAATGTGGCTCCCACGATGATCAGAGCAGAGACTCCAAGGGTCAGATATAAAATATAGACCCAAAGCCACGCCCCCATGCCCACCTCCTCCAGCCACACCCCACCTGCCTTCAGTTACCACGCAACCCATCAGGTGGCTGTGACTAATTCTGATTGGGTTTGGGCTCGGTAACCCAATCCTTTCCTCTGAGCATTTCAACCATCACATACACCATCCATCAAGTACCTGGAAAGACTGGCCCAGTGGCCAGTGGGTCTAGGAAGGAGGTCACCTCTCCATAACCCTTGTGTCACACTGAGTCGGAAATCACTGCCTCCCATAGCTCAATGAAGAAGGTGCAGAG